ACCACAGTGTTCGCTCGCATTTGGGGCCTTCTTCTCAGAAGGATATAGCCAGTCCTTCTGAAGGTTGCAGGCCCCGCCTGAGGAAAAGGAAAGCATGGAGGAAGGTAGTTTTCACACTGAACTTCAGAGGGGTGGCCTTCACCCCTATTCTCTGTCTCCATGTGCCCCAGGCAGCAGGCAGCACCTGTCCCCAGGCTGGGAGGAGGCAGAGGTCCAGGAGCACTGGCTAATAATTCTCAAGACCACCGAAAAAAAGGAACCTCACCTCCTCCATGCTGAACCCAGGCCTTGTACACCACCTCACTGTGTCCTCACCTTCTGCCCTGGCCACTCCCTGCTCCCCAAGACGATGGCTTTCACCCCACAGATTGACACCCAGCTGCAGAACAGGGCTCTAGTGGTTTCGATGAGCATTAAAGAGCCCTACAGATGCCCCAGGAGCCCTTGGCGCAGCCCAGAAGTCTGTTTTCTCGATGAGCTTCACTGCCTCCACCCAAGCCTGCCAGCAAGCCTGGGAACTGGTTCAGACAAGCCCAGGCCCAGCTGGCCTGAGAACCTTCCCTGCACGAATGAAGGTGAAGAGGGTGTGTGTGTGTGTGTGTGTGTGTGTGTGTGTGTGTTGCAATGCAAAGGCGACATGCTTCCAACATGAATCCAGGGATGGGGGGTAGGGTGGCAGTCAGAGATAACAGGTTATCCCCATTGTGTGACTAAACTTTTCCTGGGGAAAAGGAAGCCCCAAACAGACCAAAGTGTGGATACCACCAAAGTCTTACTTGATGAACCAATGAGTTTTATTGAGGTAACATACAGGAATACAGGTTACTCAGAGCAGAAATGAATCAAAGACAGCTACATCAGCAAAGCCCACCCCGGTCCTGACAGCTTACACAAGCTAGGAACCTGCAGGCCTGGCCTGCAGGCAGCTTAACAGGCAGCCGGTTGGTGTGTCCCCTTCAAGTGACCCCACCTTCCAGGTAGCTGGTCTGCTCTCAGAGCCTCCTTTTCAGGCTGACTTATCTGAGAGGGACCCTCAGCTTTTTTAAACTCACTCCGGGAGGGAGGGACCTAATCAAGGGTCAGTTTCAGGAACTTCCTGAATCTAGTTTCAGTTGTTTATCTTCCGGCTGAAGGAGATTCCCCTCTGGGTGGAATGTTTCCATGGCAGAGCAAACTGTGACAGTCCCTGAGTCCTCTAGCTGCTGGCCTTGGTCGCAGTCTTTCTCACAGTTTCTGCTAAGCAAGGTTTTGTTGGAATTCACTGTCTCATGGCTACCGTGAGGGGGCGCACCAGACCCAACTGCTGTTTACACAGCCGCAGCCCGCCTGACTCAATGGTTGCATCCTCTTTTCTTCCGTGGCTCACCTGCTCGAAGCTTAATCCAGTTGGTTTCCCCATCTAGCCTGGAAGCTGTGTGGTGCTGGGAAAACAGGTGACATAGTCACTCCTTGCCCCTGAACCTGTTCCCTATCTGTCCCTGCGTCTGGAGCCATTTCCCCCTAGAATCTCCAAGGGGAGAAAGCCCCTTGACACCGCCACCCTTCCCCTTTTCTGATGCTATGGAAGATTTTCATCTATGTCTTGTGCTTCCTTCTTGGAAAGAAGCCACCAAGAAGCCAAGATGTTATCAGCTATCTGTCCCCCGCCCCCAAGGCCTGCCTGGCCCACAGGATGAAGCTCACTAAATAACTGTGGGATGAGGAGATGACCATTTCCTCTTACACCCTCACAGTGACAGTGATTTTTCTCCTCAAACACGTTTGGAAGCTGGGACTAGTCTCAGTTGGTAGCGTGCTTGTGTAGCAGGCATGATACCCTGGTTAGTTGTGACACCACAGAAACCAGGTGCAGTGGTGCATGTCTGTAATCCCAGCATGTGGGAGGTCAAGGCAAGAGAAGCAGAAATTCAAGGTCATTCTTGACTACACAGTCACAAACAAAAGTTGCTACAGAAAAGGGAGGTAGCTCAGTGGGAGAGCAGTTACTTCAATGATGGAAGCCCCAAGGTTCATTCCAGTGCAGCCCAAACAAATCGAATCAAAACAGGAAACAGCATTGCTTCCTTTAAAGTCCTACTGTCAATGTCACTCCTCAGAGGGCTTCTCAGACCCTGGGTAAACTGCAGAGCCCTCCCACCCAAACACTGGCGGCTCCTCTAACAGCAGGGGGTGGAGGAGGGTCCATCTCACTCAGCAGATTGCCCTGTTTAGTGGTTAAAGGGATGGGTACTGGAGCTGGGGAGATGGCTCAGTAAGAGGACTTGCTTGTTCGTGCAGATGACCCAGGTTTGGTTCCCAGAACCCACATGGCAACTGACAGTAACTCCAGTTCCAGTGAATCTGATGCCCTCTTCTGACACCCACAGGCACCAGGCATGTGCATGGTACATATGCATACATGTAGGCAAACACTCATGCACACCAAATAAATATAATTTTAAAAAGGGGGGGCCTGAGTGATAGTTGTGCACACTTTTAATCCCAGCACTCGGGAGGCAGAGGCAGGTGAACGAGTTCAAGGCCAGCCTGGTCTACAGAGCCACACAGAGAAACCCTGTCTTTCACACACATACAACAACCAAATAAACAAAACAAAACAAAGGAATGGATGGGAATCATGGCATATGCCTTTAATCCCAGCACTTGGGAGACAGAGACAAGCAGATCTTTACAAGTTCAAAGCTATCCTAGTTTACATAGTGAGTTCTAGGACATCCAGAGCTACATAGAGAAATCCTGCCTCAGAATAAAAGTTGAAGAAATGTCTTAGAAGCTGGCTAAGCCATGGAAATACAGGGCAAAGTCACTCAAGTTCCCTGAACCTCGACTTTCGAGTCTGTGAAATGGGGATGGTAACTGCTTCTGTCTTTCAGTCGTTCTCAACATGCTCAGGATATTGTCACTGCTACCCTCTGGGGGAACCTGATCCAAGCTAGTGCTGCTAAGGGTCTGTAAGATGGATGAACGTGGATGGAAAGAGACAGAGAGAGGGGAAGAGAAGGAGAGATGGTTTGAGGGCCTGGAGGAGGATCCTGGCTGGGACTGAGGAGAGTGAGGGCAGCTTCCTGTAGGCAGGGAAACTTTCACCAATTTCAGCCAGAGGAGGAAGTTAGCCTGGTAAAATGGCAACAGCACATACCACACCCGTGTTTTTGTGTGAAGGGCCTGGTGTTTGCCTGAGCAGCTGGCTATCACTGAGTGACAACCTCTTAGTGCCAAGAGGCCACTTCCCCTTGGTCCCATTTTCAGGGTGCTCCTGAGCACATGGCTGTGACCTGTCCTCAGGCTGGCTGCTCACTAAGGAGACAATGGTCACTTAGTGCCTCCCCTACCAAGTCAGCAGACCTCCCAGATCAGGGAAAGGATACTTCCTGTGGACTGACCCCTCCCCCACTCACTCACCCAACCCCCTTAGCAATCCTCCAAAAGGATGCTATTAACCCATTCTACAGATGCAGGTAGTCACTGCTAATCTCCATCCAGTGGTCAGGGGGATAAGCAGAAGCCCTGTCAGGCCAGGCTCTGGGTTCAAATCCTCTCCTGGACACTTCTAGCTGGAGAGTCTATTCTCTCTCTGAACTTCATTTTTTTTCAATAGTTAAAAAAAATGACAGGAGGGCTGGTGATGTAACTCAATGGTAGACCACTTGTCTAGTATACACAAAGCCCTGGGTTCCATTCTCAGCACCACAAAATAAGTTTAAAATATAATGCTAATAATAAAAGGGAGTCTGGCAGTAATGGCACATGCCTTTAATCCCAGCACAAGAGAAGCAGAGACAGGCATATCCCTGTGAGCTGGAGGCCTGCCTGGTCTATTGAGAGTTCCAGGGCAGCCTCCAAAGCTAGAGAGAGACCCTGTCTGAAAAAACCAAAGTACTACTACTACTACCACTAATAATAATAGTAGTAGTAATAGTAATAGGGGAAAATGACAGATAAATGTGAACTTTGAATCACTGGTAAAGACAGGCTGTCAGTAAATGGCCACAGTGAAGTGTGGTACCTTCCTGGCCGTTATTAGTCTTCCAGAGCCAGGTGTGATGGCACATTGCTGGAATCCGGGCACTCGGAAGATCAGAGACTCAAGACCCCTGGCTGCAAGGTGAGTTTGAACCAATCTGGACTACTGGAGACTGTCTCAAAACGAAACAAAACAGCTCCCCACGAAGGGCGGGCAAGGGGTTAAGTGGAGACCCTGCCTCCTAGCCAGGAGCCAATCAAGTATGTGGGGGCGGAGCCAGGCTGCTGCTAGGAAAGCGATCTGGACCGACCAGATGCTTGCTTACTGGCGTGGGACCTGGAGCTACCGGCAGCGCTTGTGGGACAGGAGCGGGATCGGAGCGTAGGTCTTGGCCTCTGTCCCGTGACAGCTCCCGGCCGGAGGTTGCAGGGGAACTGCCAGGGTTAGGGGCCATAGCAGAGGGGAAGAGGAATCAGGACCCCGTATCCTCTCATCCCCCAGGCAGCAGGCATGGGCTGCACCCAGACTCTAACTTCAGCTGGCCCTGGTGGCCCACATGGGCATAAGGTCTATTTTTAGCTCTGCCACAGAAGCCCAGCCACCAGGCTACAGGGGTAGCCAGTATTTCTCAAAGGCTGTCCGGGCAGACGCAGGAGTGGGAGAGATCAGCTTTGCTTCCATCCATATCACCCTTGGCCACCCCCAGCCCAGACTAGTTCTCCATGGTCTGGCAGACAGCCTGCCTCTGGGTCAAGGGCAAGGTCAGGGGGTGCAGCTGTGAGGGCAGATGGACGCGGTCTTGTGGTCTGGACAAGGGTTGCATCAGCCCAAGCAGTGGCCCGGGGCAGAGGTCCCTACTGAGAGGGCAAAGGCTGGCTAGGTTGTGGGAAGACGTGTTCAAAAAGCCAGCACTGCCCACAAGGGGTCAGTCCCACAGGTGGTCAATAACGCTGTTTGAACTTAGGAGCCTGCCTTCAATGGGCCTCAGTCTTCGGTCCATGCAGTGAGTGCTGGACCGGAGCGCTCCTGCCCTGGGGTTCCCACCTTCCCTATTTGCTACAGAAGTTCCTGAGGTCCTTCTAACCCTGGCTGTGGGTGGCCACATGCCCCTGTGGAGAAGAAAGTCCTTCTGGCTGGCACTGTCAGTCTCCTGGCTCCTCCTCATTCTCCTGGGAGTCTTCCCCCTTCGCTTGGCCGTGCCACCCAGACCTCTACCAGAGCGCTCCCAAGGCTGGCCCCGCTGGCTGGATGCTGCCTTCCTACAGAGCTTCTCCCAGTCTGAGACACCCCCAGAAGATGCTCCCCGGCTTCCTCAAGCTCCACGGGGGAGCAGCTGCACCTGGGGATCTTGCTTTGACACCTCCAAATGTAAGGGAAATGTCCTCAAAATCTTCGTGCACTCCCCAGGTGGTCCAACCACCGAGGCTCATCGCAGGATCCTGGACTCCTTGGAAAGCTCCCGATACTATGCACCTAGCCCAGCGGAAGCTTGCCTCTACCTCTTCCTCCCCAGCCAGGACCATACATGTGGACCCCTGCCTCCTTACTGGAACGGGGGCCGGAACCATCTGGTCCTCAGTCTGTATCCAGCTCCCTGCACCAGGCTGGGACAGGCAATGGTAGCTGAGGCTAGCCCCTCCTTGGACATCTTCCGACCAGGTTTCGATGTATCCCTTCCATATCTTCCTGAAGCTCACCCACTGCAAGGTGGGGCTCCTGGCCAGCTGCAGCAGCATAGTCCCCAGCCTGGGGCCACCTTACTGGCAGTAGCAGAGAAGGGCAGGTGGCGAATCACAGACACCCATTCTTCAACCTGCCCTTGGGACAAGCACTGTGAGCAAGACCCAGGACTCCATCCGTAAGTAAACCTACCCTTGGGGAGTAGAAGGGAGGGGCTGCGATAGGAGCAAGTCCAGAGGATGGAGTAAAGGCAAGAAGTGTGACATCCTGTCTGATGGGAGCTAGTCCTGACAAACCAGTCTCAGCAGCAGTAGGCGTGATAGAGTTAAGATAGCAGAGTGGACTTCTACCAAGATGATTTGCCTCGAAGGGAGTGAAAGGCAGTTTTGGAATTCTCCCTTGGGGGCCTTAGAAACATAGCAATGCTCACTCCTACTCCCCCTCCCCCATTCCTGTTACCCTGGTCCCTCCTACTCTTAACATTTTATGTAACAGACAGATATCCGTGTGTCACTCACTTGGTGTAAGCACTTCCATAAACAGTGGTTACAGATGGGGGGGGGGTTAGATCAGTCATACGGTGTTTGCCTGCCAAACATAAAGACAGGATCTCAAGCCCCACGGCACCCCCAGCTGATGGAAAAATCCAGTGCTGAGGAGGTAGAAAGATCCCTGGAGCTCCTGGCTGCCAGCTTAGTTGAATGAGTGCGTTTCGGGTGCAGTAAGAGATCCTGCCTTAAAAACTAGAGAGATGGCTCTGTGAGCAAAGAAGCTGACCACCAAGCCTGATGACCTGCGTCCAATCCTGAGCCGGCAAGCTAAAGAGAGAGAGAACAGACTCCTGGGAATTTTGTCTTCTGACGTCCACACACTCTCCAAGACACATAGGCATCCATGCACAGGAGTAAGTAGATAAGTGTAAAAAAGATGAAATAAAGTGGAGAGTGACTGAATCTCTAGCCTCCACACATGTACACACACACAGGTGTACACACACATTATATATAATAAAATAGTTCTAACTACTATCACTAAAGAACCTGTATTCTAAAGGCAATATAGGTTAGGTAACTATGGCCACCCGGCCAGAGGAAGCACAGCCAGTATTTTAATCCAGAACTCTCTGTCTCCAAAGCCTTCAGTATGACAGTTCTGTGTTTTAAGCAAGAGTTATGATCAATCCCGTCAAAAGGCCTCAGGGGAGCCACAGAGACTGGTAACTGGTCCCAGCTGGAAACTGCTCTTGTGTCTAATTTTGGAGATTAATCTCTCAAGGAAATAACAGCCTTTGATTTTGGAAAGATGACTTAGGTCGGATGTAAAGAACTTCTTCAAGAATGAATGCCTGCATGGAGAGCTTGGAGAGACAGCCCTCCACCTGGGCTGGCCAGCTGGGCACACTTCCTAAGTGACCTAAACCTGTCTAACTAAACCCTTATATCTCCAGAAACTACCAACACCAGCTTCTAAGGTTGCCTAGGTGGAGGGGCCCAGGGCTCCCTCTCTATCACCCCAGGGCAGACATGAGTTTATAGCCCTCTGGTGTCTCTCTTTTGCCCCCTCCTGAAGTCTCCTCCTGTCCCCCAGCTGGGCTATTCTGAGCTCAGCTTCCCCCAGCATGCTTTCCCCTGGCCAGACTCCAATTCTGCCTCTGCTTGAGTCTCTGGGCTCTGGAGAGAGTAGAATCCTTACCCTCCTGGAGGCACTTGGAAGACCTCCCTGTCATTCCCACAGCCATCCCTCTGGTCCTCTGGGCTCCTCAGGCCCAGAGCCTAACAGGAACTCTGCTGTGGTGACAAGGCTCCTAGTGTCATGGCCACCCTGTTTCTCTTTTCCCACTGGGCACCCCTGGCTCTGCTTGCTTCCTGGAAATCCCTCTTTGAGCTAACTTCAGTTATTACTATATGTGCTGAAGGAAAACCGTTCCAGTGTAGCATCGGTCACCTGTAGATACTTGTATAGTGGTAGTTGTTTTTTGTTTTGTTTTGTTTTGTTTGCTCTGGCCTACTTGGAAGGCTCAGGGTAGACCCTGCTGACCTTGAGCACAGGATAATTCTGCTGCCTTTGCCTCCTGAGTGTGGGCTAGGGTTTACAGGTGTGTGGCACTCCATTCTGCTCCGGGCAGCATCTCCCATGATGAGTTTATTCCCAAGATCTGCTGTATGGTAGCCCTTCATTGTCCTCAGTTTCTCAGAAGTCCCTGCAGCTGCCTAGGCCAGACAGCATAGGGACAGAGGGGGAGGCCAGCCCCAGGAGACAGCCTGAATAAACAAACTCTGGCCAGAGAAAGAGGCACTTGAGCCCCTGCCACTGTCCCACATTCCCTGGCTGGCAGGCAGGCGGTGGTGGTGGAGGCTGCCCGGGGCACCGTGCTGTACCTGACTTCCTCCTTTATTATTGATTCTCCCAGCATCCTCCACAGTAGGTATTAGCCCCCATCTCAGGACACAGGAAACACTCAGGGGGTTGTGTGTGGGGAGTGTCAGGAGCCCTCGGCTGCCCAGGCCTCTTCACTTTTCTGATTAAGCACTCCATGGGGTTGGGATTCAGAACTGTACTTCTTGCATCCTGCGCCAGTATTTTTCCACGTTGGTTGAATAGTCTCCTGTTGCCTTGGAATAAGGGCCCGCCCACTGAAATTGTAATTTCTTTATTTTTATGAATAGGTGATTCATTCACAGTATGAAGAATTCCAGTAGTACAAAGGGGTACACATTCACATTCCTCCCCTCCCCGCCTGACTCGACCACCACCCGGTTTCCTTTCTGGAGCAGAGTGCTGGTTCCATCATCTTGTGTGCCTTTCTTTTCTGGGCAGCTCTATATATCCAGGGCATATGTAGGCATGCCATATGCCGTTTCTTCTGCTCAATTGCTTGGGTTTTCTGAGACAGGGTCTCCTCTAGCCCAAGCTAGCTTTCATCTCACGGTGTGGATGAACTTCCTGCCTCTACCACTCAAGTACTGACTGAGATTACAGATGTGTGCCACCAGGCCCAGCCTTTTCTCCACTTTTAAAATTCTGTACATGTCTGTGGTGTACATACATGCATGCTAGCTCACATGTATGTGGCCACGTATGGGAGTACATGCACACTAGTGAGCACAAGCCGGTGGATGTCTGTCTTCGTCGATTGTTCTCTACCTTATACATTGAGGCAGGGGCCCTCCCTTGAACCCAGAGCTTACCAATCTACCCAGTCTAGCTAGCCAGCTTGCTCACAGGTCCCATCTCTGTACACCTCATGTTGAGTTTACAAGTGGTCCGCTCTGCCCACTCAGCATTTTGATGGGTGTTGGGGGATCTAAAGTCTGGTCTCTCAAAAAAATTGTTTAATTATTTTTTCAACTGTATGTGTGTGCTTGTATGCATTTATGTGTACCATATGTATGAAAGATATTTTAACCGACCAGAAAAGGCCAGGCGGTGGTGGTGCACACCTTTAGGTCCAACACTCAGGAAGCAGAGGCAGTCAGATCTGTATGTATTCCAGGGCATCCTGGTCTACAGATTGAGTTCCAGGGCAGCCAGGGCTACAGAGTGAGTTCCAGGACTTCCGCTGCTTCCTGAATGCTGAGATTAAAGGTGTATATCACCACTGCCTGGCCCATCTTCCCATTCTTAATGTAAATTGAGCAGATATTTCCATGCCTCGCTCCCACCCTGTGGATGGTATGTATAGCCCAGGGACACTTTGTGAAACACATAAAAGCAGCTTCAAAAGAAAAAGTGTGAATGTTTAGGTGAAGGAAAATGTTTTGATATGTAACATTATTTTTTTATATATCAACCCAGTATTTAAATACAATTTGAATATTTTCTCCCAGGGTAGGAGTGACTGCAAAAGCCTAGGACCCATGGAAGCCACAATATGGCTCTGCCATGGCCAGGCTCTCGTGAACCCCATGGCCGTGGGCAGAGTCATGCCGTTCACCATGGGCTCTGAAGTCCTAGGCCTGTGGTGCATACTGTAAACAGTAGACATCCTCAGACTTCCTGGTGATGTGCACACAGAGACACAAGTTTCCTCTCTGTTGCCCTGAGCCCCACACAGCTGCTCAATCTTCCTCTACACGTCCATACACCGTCTCCCAGGGGCCCCTTCCTCACAACCCTCAGCACCCTCCGCCCCTGTGCTCCGTTAACCGTGTCAGGAAGGCAGGTGCTCAGTGGTAGAGTGTTAAGCAGAAGGAGGCTGTAGAGTAGTGATCCTCAATCTGTGTGTGGGTCTGACCCCTTGGAGTCAGATTACCCTTTTACAGGGGTCACCTAAGACCATGGGGAAAACACATATATTTACATTATGATTCTCAGCAGCAGCAAAATTACAGTTACAAAGTAGCAGCGGAGGTATTTTTATGGTTGGGGGGGCACCAGCCCAACATGAGGAACTGTATTAAAGGGCCACAGCATTAGGAAGGTTGAGAACCACTGCTCTAGGGTCTGCTCTACTTTGGAATTAAGCATGTCTTTGGTGCTGTTCCCTCACCTGTCAGGTAGGATGGTAGAGAGGGCTTTCCATCTCAGAGCGCTGCTGTGAAAATGATCTTCAGACATGGAAAGCACTTAGAACTGTGCCGGTTGGGACATCAAGGAGGGCTTCCTGGAAGAGGTGACGCCGAGCCAGGTCTTTGCTGCAGAGCAGGAGCTCCCCGTGTGAGGTAGGGAGGGCACTCGGGATGAGAGGACAGAGCATCCAGAAGCACAGAGGTAAGACAGAGAGGACCTAAAAGCCAAAGTCAGTGCAGTGAGCCCCTTTCTTTCTGTGTGAGTTCCTTTTAGTTCCATACGTACTGGGGGGAGCTGGGCCTGCCTGGCCAGTGCTGTGGCTTCTATTGTGATAGGTGGGTGATGTTAGCTCTGTGGTTCCTTCCAGAGGTTCCTGGTATACCCCTAAACATACCCGTCATGATGGCTGACATCACCGGGGATTGGAATTGACCCATCTTAGTTCTCACCACAGCCCAGTCCCTCTCCTGGAGACTCAGTCTCCCTCACTGGTCTTGTACCGAAGCTTCTTGATACTGCCAGAGGCGGGGCTCAGCGCTGAGGAGGCTCTTAGGTGGCCCCCTTCATGCATCTCACTGAGCATTGTGAGCACCCATGGGTCCCCTCTGGCTTTTTCTTCTCCAGCTGGGCTATAGGCAATCCCTGAGAGGTTGTGGCTCTGGACTCCTCTCCCTCAGACTCACACAACCTGATCAAGGCTCTGGAGGGGGGGGCTGGGGGAGGAGGGGAAACAGAGGAGCCCTGTCCTCCAAGATGGGCCTGTGGGCAAGGGCTTCCTGAGTGGTTCCAGGCTGGAGGCCCAGCCCACCTTAGTACAGAGAATCCTTTCATGGCTTGGCCACCAGTGCAGGAGGGCTGAGTGTGGAGGTCCTCAGGTGACGGGGGGGGGGGGGGCTGAGTGTGGAGGTCCTCAGGTGACTGGGGGGCTGAGTGTGGAGGTCCTCAGGTGACTGGGGGGGGCTGAGTGTGGAGGTCCTCAGGTGACGGGGGGGGGGCTGAGTGTGGAGGTCCTCAGGTGACTGGGGGGCTGAGTGTGGAGGTCCTCAGGTGACGGGGGGGGGGCTGAGTGTGGAGGTCCTCAGGTGACTGGGGGGCTGAGTGTGGAGGTCCTCAGGTGACGGGGGGGGGGCTGAGTGTGGAGGTCCTCAGGTGACTGGGGGGCTGAGTGTGGAGGTCCTCAGGTGACGGGGGGGGGGCTGAGTGTGGAGGTCCTCAGGTGACTGGGGGGCTGAGTGTGGAGGTCCTCAGGTGACGGGGGGGGGCTGAGTGTGGAGGTCCTCAGGTGACTGGGGGGCTGAGTGTGGAGGTCCTCAGGTGACAGGGAGGGCTGGATGTGGAGGTCCTCAGGTGACTGGGGGGCTGAGTGTGGAGGTCCTCAGGTGACTGGGGGGCTGAGTGTGGAGGTCCTCAGGTGACGGGGGGGGGGCTGAGTGTGGAGGTCCTCAGGTGACAGGGAGGGCTGAGTGTGGAGGTCCTCAGGTGACAGGGGACCTGGCTATGGAGGTCACTCAGGTGGGGAGGGCTGGGCCAGAGTGGAAGTGAAAGGGAGGACATGAGATCCAGGCACCTCCCGTTTTGTAACTGGGGTACAGGGACGAGGAGGGATATGTCTGAGGCCACGAAGGGCACTCAGGGTGTCTGAATCCCCGCAGAGCAGAGGAGAGGCCAGGTCGCTGTCCCCGTGACATCGCTGTAAGTGTGTGGTTATGTGTCTGAGGATGCAGTAGGCGTCAACATCTTGTGACTATGGGAGAGGTGTCACCTGTGGCAATTCGTGTCACCGCAAGGTCACTGGGGCAGCCAAGTGTAGCCAGGGGCAGCTGTCCTAGGCTCCTGTGTCCAGAGACCTTCCTATACCTTCTCAGGACCCACCCAGGAGAAACACTACCCAATGCCACCTTCTGCCTCATTCCTGGTCACCGACCTGCTGCCTCCTGCTTCCTTCAAGCCCTTCAGGTACACCCCAACCTGAGTATCCCCAGCCTGTATACCTCACCCTTGAGCTAGCAGGGCTGCTGGGTAATGCACTTAGGAAGGGTTCCCTGCCCCCCTGCCCCCCCAAATGCTCTCCTCTTTATCCTTCCCCCTAACAGCAAGGGCTGCTACCTTGGCCTGGGGTGGTGGTGAGTGTATGTAGGGAGGGGCTGGGCTCCCCAGTAACTGCCCTGCCCCCCAGGCCGGCTGTATCCCTGTGCTCCTCAGCCCGCGCTGGGAGCTGCCTTTCTCTGAAGTCATCGACTGGACCAAGGCAGCCATCATTGCTGATGAGAGGCTCCCATTACAGGTAGCTCAGGGTCTATACCATGGTGGGGGGGCATTTCAGGGGAGGGACCCCAGGAACTTGACCCCCTTCTAGTAGGCATTCCTATCCCCATTGCCTCCCTCTGGGGCTCCCACAGACACAGATGGACATGAAGACTCTGGAGGACGCTGAGAGAAAATTCTGAGCCACCTTTGGCCTCAGTTTCCCCATCTCTACAATGGGATGTTAGACCAGGTGATCTTTGGGGATCAGCTGAAAGGAGATGTGTAAGACCCTGTGTCTTTTCCATCTGATGAAACTAATTTTGCCTGGGTCTGAAGGATACATAGGAGCCGCCTTGAGGAGTCTGGGGAGTTAGGTGGAGGTGTGAAAGAGACCAATGGCGATCCTTTAACTGGGCGTGGTGGCCACACCTCTGAAGCCAGCAGGGAGATCAGGGATTCAAGGTCAACTTCAACTTCATAGCAAGTTTGAGCCTAGCCTGGAGAGTATCAAAAGGAAACGAACACACTCACACACACACACACTCAACTACTATTTACTCATTGAGTCTCCACATGACCTAAATACTAAAGGGTCATTTTCTATTTGAATCTATACACATGAGGGAGGTGTTTAATGCACCCATTCCACAGATGGGGAAAACGAGACTGGAGGTGTTGTGACAGTTCCTGTCTCCTCCCCCTCTGGGTTGGTCTCATGTAGCCCATGTCTATGAATCTATGCATACTAGAATGGTCTTGAACTTATTTTTTTCCCTAAAGATTAATTTAGTATATACAGTGTTCTGTCTGCATGTGCCCCTGAACCAGCAGGGGGCACCAGATCTCACTACAGGTAGTTGTAAGCCACCACATGGTTGCTGGGATTTGAACTCAGGACTTCTGGAAGAGCAGACAGTGAGTGCTCTTAACCTCTGAGCCATCTTGCCAGCCTCCTGATCTTGAACTACTGATCCTCCTGCCTCCAGCTCCTGAGTGCTGGGATTGCAGGCACGTGTCCATGGTGTCTCAAACCCAGGGCTTTGCCCATGCTCTGCAGGCACTTACCAACTGTTTCCTCTCCTTCTCCCCCATCCCCAGCCACTCCTACCCTTTGTTTTTGTTTTTTTGTTTTTTGTTTGGTTTGGTTTGTTTGTTTTAAGACCTTCCTGCCTCCACTTCCTGGGTGCCGGCAGGACTTGCAGCCATGTACCACCTCACCTAACATTAAGTGTCACTTAAAACTAGCTCTGTGTGACCCTGAACACGGGGTGCACATGTCTGGAAGCTCCCAGTTCCCAGAGCTCTGACAGGGTCAGTCAGGGCCCAGCCCCAGGCCTCCTATTTTTCTTCCTCTGTCCTCCAGGTCCTGGCTGCCCTCCGTGACATGCTCCCTTCGAAGATTCTGTCCCTGCGCCAGCAGACCCAGTTTCTGTGGACCGCTTACTTCTCCTCAGTGGACAAAGTCATCCACACCACACTGGAGGTGAGGGGGACTCATCGGCAGGGCCCCAGGCTCCCCTGCAGCCCTTCCTCTCTCCATCCTTCTCTTCCTGTGTTGTGGTCCTCCCTTGGAGCTTCTGGGAAGACCTAGTCGTGGCACACATCTGCTCCCAGTCTTGAGCTTGTCCTGGTCTGCGGACACCACACCTCTGCCACTGTGGCCCGGGATTCCAAGGACCGGCTCACTCTTAACTCATGGCAGGAGCAGTCTGGAGTGCTTTTGGGAAAGAGGCAGGCTCATTCCGAATTTTGAGTCCTGAAAGAATGGTTATGATCCCACACTTGTGTCTGTGGGAGTGAGGAAAGAAGTGAACGCTAAGTCAAGATCTGTCACTCATACATTCCTGCTACAGAACTGGGCTCCTCTGGCTTCTGGATTCTCTGCTCTCCTGCACCTGAGAGAAGGTGTGGGTGTGGGCCTAAGGGCCCCTGGTAGAGAGTTAGCCCCTCCCATCCCACCACTCAGACCCCGCCTCTTTCAGGCTCGGCCCCTCCTCAGGCCCCACCCACAACCTGCTGTCTGAAACCCGCCACTCCCTCTGTACTGCCGCCTCCTCTGTCCACAGATCATTCAGGACCGGATCTGGGGTGCATCAGCTCACTCCTCACTGATGTGGAACAGCCCCCCGGGGGCACTCCTGGTTCTTCCTACATTTTCCACGAGCCTAAAGGATTTCCCCTTTTATCACCTGCAACAGGGTATGTTTGCTCAGCTTCATCTGTAGATACTCTCAAACTCTAACATCTCTCGTGGTTCTCCGGGGTCCCCCAGCTCGGGACACTCCACGGGCCTCCACTTCCTCCCTAACTATCTGCCTGCGTCTTCTTCCCGCAGGCTTCAGCCCGGAGAGCAGTTTCAGCGCCCTGATCTGGGTGGGGGTCTCTGGCGAGCCCCTGCTGAAGCTGCTGCAGGTGGTGGCAGGTTCCCGGTATTGTGCCCAGGTCTGCCCCCTCCCGCCCCCCGACAGCTGGAGCCCTGGGGTCCAGGGTGGACGCCAAGGAACAGAGCAAGGCCCCAGATGACCACACATCTGAGGGGGGGGGAGGCACAGGGAGGATTTCCAAAGATTCTTGTTGCCTTTAAGTCTCGGTTTCTTGTTCTTTCCATGAACTCTATCAGAATTGGTGAAGCCCTGGAAGAGCTGGTGCTTCTTGGTGAGGCTGAAAGGAAGCATTCATTCATGTATTCTCATTCATTCATTCACTCATGCATGCATGCATTCATTCTCTCACCTTGAGACCAGACTGGTGCTGAGTATCAGAGAACATAGTTTGCCAGGTGTGGTGGCTCATGCCTGTGATTCCAGCACTTGAGTTGGAGGTAGGCTAGCCCGGATTTCAGAGAGCCCAGGCACTTGGGGTACAGACATGCAGGCTGAACCTGCATGTACAAAAAATAATAAATCCATCTAAACAACAACAAAAACCTACCAAAGAATCCAGGTTGATTCTCAGAGGAAGTGGGTAGCTAGGCCAGGGTGCAGAGGGAACCACTGCAGATGGGACATTGGGACTGAGCAGGAGATGACACAGAGGAGACGGCAGGCCTTGGAGGGAAGATGGGGATGGCACGTAAGGAGTACACAGGACTTTAACCGGCATTTTGGAGGCAGAGGCAGATGGAATTCAAGGTCAGCCAGGTCTAGATAGTGACTTCCAAGACAACCAGGGCTATATAAAGAGACCCTGTATAGGTGGCTGCACTTTTTTTTTTGGGGGGGGAAGGGGGAGAGGCTTTTTTTGTTGTTGCTTGGTCTTGGGTTTTTTTGTTTTGTTTTTCAAGACAGGGTTTCTCTGTAGCTTTGGAACCTGACCTGGGACTCGCTCTGTAGACCAGGCTACTAATTTTACTATTTAGCACTGGTTAACCCTGGCTAGACTCAAAAGATCTGCTTTCCTCTGCCTCCTAAATGCTGGAATTACAGGCATTCACCACCACCCGTCTCAACCAGAATTCTTGCCTTCCAGAACACCCGAGGCAAGACTAAAGATGTCAGTGAAGGGATCTGCCCCCTCTTGAGTGTGCAGAAGTAACTGCTCTCTGCTCCATCCACCCTAAGAAAGACCATCCTTGGGACTTCCCTTCCAATCCCGACCCCAGATTTCAGATACATCTCCTTTTTTTCTAGATCCTGATCCTATGGAGGAGTGAGAAGCCACCCCCTGACAGGTGGCCTGAGACAACAGTGCCCTTGACAGTCATTGAGGGGCGCAGGAAGGTGAAGGGGGAGGACTCCCGCTGGGGGTCAGGGAGGACCAACACGGGATGTTTTGAACCAAGCTGGACTTCTATGTGGCTCTGAAGGAATCAGGCCATGGGTTTTAGCTGAAGGTCTAATTGGAACGATGCCCTTACATTAAAGTGGGTCTTAGTGGTTTTGCCGGCTATGTGCAGGGTCCTGGGTTCCATTTCTAGCCCTGGGAAATACACTTCTAGAGCATTACAGGAGGTGCCTGTAATATGGAAGACAAGAGACTGCATAGATGTCTCGTGGGCTCGTGGAGAAATGCTACAGAGAGCAGCTCAATGGGCTGGAAAGGGTGGGAGCAGGGGACCAGGGAAGACACTTAGCTCTCCAAGTCTGAGCTTTTCAAGTAGTTGGTGCAGGATTGATAAGAGTATCTGATGTGGTAACAGAGGGAATCCTAGATGCCAAACCAAAGGGCCCTTGAAGACAAAGGGGAAACTTCAGTCTAGAACTTTGGGCAGGCTTCTGTTTTCCCGGCTTCCTCTTCCACACCCTATCTGAAGGGCTCATTCTTACTGGGTGGGGGTTGATGAGTGCCTCTCATGGCCAAGTTGCCCCCAACTTGCTCTGCCCCACCACAGGCCAGTGACCGATTCTTCCCGTACAGCGACATCAGCAGCAGGGTCATCCTCAGCCTTGATGCCCACAGCACTCTTTCCACCAGTGAGGTGAGGGTTGGGCCCACAAGATCTTCCGTGTGATGGGGTCGGAGCCCAAGGGTGCTAGAACCTCCTCAGGTTCCCAAGCCCTGAGATCCAGCCCTTAGCTCGTGTCTGGGCAAGTTCCCATGAGTTCCCCAGAAACATTCATGTTAAACTTCTAGTAAAACTCCAAGCCATGGCTCCCATCCCGTCCCCTAAGCCTTGCCCCACCCCCTCAGGCAGGCTGGCCTCCCCACCATAGGCTATAAGGATGTTGGTCTGAAAGTTCCTCCTCATAACTCGCTTAAACCCCTCTACAGGTAGACTTTGCCTTTGTGGTGTGGCAGAGCTTTCCGGAGAGGATGGTGGGCTTTCGGACATGGAGCCATTTCTGGGATGAGGCCCGGGGCGGCTGGGGCTATAGGACTGAGATGGCCAATGAATTCTCCATGGTCCTCACGACAGCTGCCTTCTACCACAGGTGCAAACATTGGCCCCAGCACAGGGAGAAAGGGTCAGAGGCTCCAGTCCCCACCTTGGAGTAGGTGGGTGGATTCCTGCTGTCCAGAGCCAGGGTTCAAGACCTAGATCACCCTGTTCCCAGTGATGTGATCTTGGGGGGGGTGTCTGCTTACTTGTTTTTTAGCTGGGCTGGGAAGCTGGTAGGAATACTTGTCTAGTATGTGCAAAGCCCTGGATTATGATGACACACATGTAATCTCAGCACTGGTTCAGTGCAAGTGGGGGTGGGGTCAGTTCAAGGTCACACTCAGCTGGGTAGTGAGTTGGAGGTCAGCCTGACTCCGAGAAGGACCTGTCTTTGCAGCCCAAGCTGAGCTCAAGCGTACAAGCTTCCCACTTTCCTGAATGGTGAGATTACAGGTGCCATCCCCCACCCCCAAGCCTGGCTTCTGGTGCCTCTTGAAAGTGATTCTTTAATCCACTTAAACCTCACCCATGTATCATGGGACTTTGTATAGGTTTTATTGAGGGGCTCTGTATGGCGAACTCATGATGGAGAATAGCCCTCATGTGTGCAGGGTGGGCCCAGCATGGACACAGCCTCCCTGAAGCTGGTCTTTGGGTAGCCGTGTTTGATGGCTTTAGAAACATCTAATACTTTCCCTGCCACCAAGTCTAACTGTGTCAGAGTTCATACTTGGGAGCCCAGAAAGTGGGCCCCAAGGAGGGATTGGAGGGATAAAGAATTAACACATCATTGCCCACGGCAATCAAAGCTACAGGACATTTGGAGAGCCGGTCATGCCCAGGACTGGGGCTCCCTGTGAGAGGAGTTAGGAGACGGGGTACAGGTCTTGGGAAGTGGCTTGAGGTCTGGGTCAGAAGAAGAATGGACCCTGTCTGCAGCCTTTCCTTGTCTCACCAGCTTACCTTATACCTTACAGGTATTACCACACCCTCTTCACCCACTCCCTGCCTAAGGCTCTGAGGACCATGGCAGATGACACTCCCACCTGCGTGGATGTCCTGATGAACTTCCTGGTAGCAACGGTCACCAAGCTGCCCCCTATCAAGGTGCCTTATGGCAGGCAGCACCAGGAGGCTGATCCACAGGTGAGAGGACCCCGGGACTGGTCCGCACTAGGAAAGCACGGGTTGGGAAAGAAAAAGAGGGCAGATTCCCTTTTGCCGTCTACTCCAAATCTTTCTTGCTTTCTGCAGCACGGGTGAGGGTTCAGAAAAATAAGCTTTACGGATACGTTTCCCTTCTACCTCTTAGGCTGCTGAAGGGCTTGGACCCGCGCCAGAGCCTCTGGCTCAGGACTGCTTCAGCCGTGTGGCAGCAGGGTTCAGCCACATGCCTCTGGTGTCCTCTCGAGTGCGTCTGGACCCGGTGCTGTTCAAAGACCCGGTGTCCGTGCAACGCAAGAAGTACCGCAGTCTAGAGAAGCTCTAGGTAAAGCGCTGCACCTGCCCGCTAGACAGGAAAGAAGCAGTCGAGACAGGTACAAGTCTTGTCCTGGTTGGCCAATCAGGACAGGGTGCCCTGAAGGGCGGGGTCTCCCACTGGATGCTGCAGGACTGCGTTTGGCGCAGGCCAAGGCACAGACTGATCCCGGTTTCCTCAAATGCCTTTCTCTGTATCTCTGCCTGATCCATTTCTGACCCGCATGCCTACTCACCTCCTTGGTGGTCTCGAAGTCCTAGCACGGACTCAGTTCTGAGTGTTTGAGAGTACGGCCCGGCTCCAGGACGGACCTGGGAGCTCGGGAGGGCAGATACTGCTCACCTCTTTGTTATGGCAGGTGCATCGCAAATATGTGACCTATAGCTACAAGGCTACAAGAGTATTAACTGGATGCTAGCATGGTAGAACATGGGCAGAGTGTGCACGAGACAAAACTCCATCCTCTGCCCTGGGATTCCTAGTCCACGATGAAAACAAGCATCCGTAGACATCAAGGCTGCCAGTCTCAATCAAGAGTGAACACAGAGGCCAAGAGTGGGAGATAACTGGAGGATTTTGGGTATTGTGTGCCAGAGATCTCTGGGGGCAGCCAGACTAGCACCACTGCACTACCAATTTTGACCACTAGAGGTCATCTGCTGCACAGCTCTCCCATCATGAAAGGACTGGAGTTTGATTTTGCTTTCTTGATTATTTTCTCTCTCTCTCTTTTTTTCTTCCCGTTTTTCGTTTTAGACAGGGTTTCTCTGTGTAGTCCTGGCTGTCGTGGAACTCATTCTGTAGACCAGGCTAGCTTCGAATTCACAGGGATCCACCTGCCTCTGCTTTCCAGAGTGCTGGGATTAAAGGTGTGCACCCCACCCCCCACACAGCTCTTTGTTGAATTTTTTGTTTTTGTTTTTGGAGGGTGGGTGTGAGGGTGTGAGACAAGATCTGACTCTGTAACCCAGACTTACTCTCTCAGCTTCCACAAGTGTTAGACTTACAGGTATGAGCCATAATGGCAAACTATGAATGGACTTATGGCTCAGAGGGCGGCTAGTTGAGAGAAAGTGGAAGGGCTCTGGTGTGTGCAGCGGCCAGTCTGAAAACTCGGGAGGAATATGACAGAACCCCTCTGTGGCCAGCACACTTGGAGCCTGGGTGGTTCGAAGATGGGCTGTTTGCGAGAACTGTCCTCAGCGTCCTGTCGGTGAGAGTGCCTGGGTTCATCCACCTGGAACTGGGATTATCGCTTCTGAAATAAAGCACGTGTCTTTGCCCACTCACCCTCGGGCTATAAATACCCATACAGCAACTGCACTGTGGTGGGGCGGCCAGGGTCAAGCGGGAGCGTGTTGCGGGCCAGGGTGACTCGGTGGGGCGAGGGTCTAACCCAGGTCCAAGGTATTCGGTGTTTTCCTTCTTTGCTGGCTTCAGCCACTCTGGAAACTCCCGTGACAAGGTTGCTGGCTAGAACAGTCTGTCCCTTGAGGCCTCTCACCCGCTTTCTCCAGCTTTACTCCTGGCTGCTGTATGACTCAGGTCCTTCCTGAAGCCTGTCACAGCTGGGTGTGGAAAGTAGGCCCTTTATTGGAAGCCAGGAACTGTCAGATGCTTGAGGTGCAAGGGGGGAATGGAGATTAAAGTGGGGGGGGGTGGCCTGGCCCACGGTCAAGAGCATCAGAGAGTGAGGAATCCACACAGCTGCAGTCTAGGCAGCCTGCCAAGGATGGAGGGCACCCAGTGCCAGGGCCAGCCTGCGAACAGGACACCCAGGACAATGGCTGCCTCGGGTTGGCTATGCCCTGTGCCCATGTGGAAGACGCTTGGAGCAAGGCAGGTGTCAACCCTGGCTATAACAGAGATTACAGGGTATGTGACACACCTGTCTCACATCTGCTGCGTGACGTAGCCTCTCAGAACCTTGTTTTCTCATCTATAAAAATGAAAACTGGCTAGAGACGGACTCAGTAGTTAAGAGCGTTTACTATGCTTACAAAGGACACTGCCTGGGTTCCTAGCACTAACACCTTTAACTCCTGTTCCAGGGGATTTAACACCCTCTTCTGGTCTCCATAGGCACCCAGATACATGGTTCACATGCAGATAAGTGCACGTGCGCTCACGTGCACGTGCGCACACACATTCACACACACAATTTAAAAGGAAGAGGAAGAGGATCCAGTAGCTCCTGTCTATGGCCCTAGCACTCAGGAGGCTAAGGCTGAAGCAGGGGCAGGAGACTCTCTGAAAGGCCCAGGCCAGCCTGAACCACATACACAGCAACCACAAAAAAGACAAGGGCCATCTCCTGAGATGTGTAAAACTGTGGCACACAGAGATGCCCAGTATCCAGAATCTGGGGGCGGGGGGTGGAAGCTGAAAGGTAGGCACTTGGTTACTTAGGGCTAGAGGATTACATAACCAACAGCATCTTCCCCATTCCAGGGTCACATTGACTTCACAAGCCTTGAAGAGCGAAAGAAACCCTGAGCCTAAGCCTCAGTGGCAGTGCTGAAAGGCATAGTTTGTTTTTGTTTTTTTAACAGATGGAGAGAGGGACAAACGAGAGGTCAGGGGTGGTACATGTTGTAATCCAGTACTCAGGAGGCTGAGGCAGGAGGATGGGACTTACAGGCTAGCATGGGCTATCTAAAAATTGAAAGAGCCAGCTGTCTGCTATATACCTGCAATTCCAGCATTCAGGAGGCAGAGACAAGGGTCAGAAACCAGGCCAGCCAAGTACAAGACTGGTGATCTGAATGCATTCCCAGGACCCACAGTGCAATGACAGCCACTTCCCAAAAGTTGTCCTCTGACCCACACATGTGCCATGGAACACAAATGTCCACACTACGCAGATATGAAATAATATATTTTTTAAAAACTTAACGGGGTGGAGAGAGAGCGCAATGGTTAAGAGCACCAACTGCTCTTCCAAAGGACCTGGGTTCAATTCCTGGCACTCACATGACAGCTCACACTTGTAATTCCAGTTCCAGGACTTCTGACACTTATCACACAGATAAACACCAGGAAAAAAAACAACAACCAAAACAAAAAAACCCAATATCATAAAATAAAAATAAGTAACAAATGTTTGTCATTTCCTTTTTAACATGTGGTGCTGTTCTGTTGGGAGCAGACAATTGGCCTCTCCTCTTACCTGCCAGGGCAGAGTGAAGACAGGAGGCTTCTGTCTTCACTGGGAGGCTGGCCTGGCCCTTCACGACACCATCAACTGCAGAGTCCCTTTTCCAGGGTACTGATCAAGTCTGATCAATCTACAATCACTAAGTATGTGGCAGGCTTGGCTGTCTTGATAACCCTGTGGGGGTGGTGTCCCCACATTTCTGGTCTCCAAGAGTCACATGCCCGGGGAAGTGACAGCCTTTAAGGACTGGCCTACAGCAGATGGACACATTGGCCCAGGGCTTCCTATAGGCTTGTCACCTCTGAGAGGGGACAAGTTTCTCTTCTTGCATCTTATAACCACAAGCCAGTTACAATTTTCCACCTTCCTGGCCCCTGGATACATCCTCACCCCTAGGTTCTAAGGACATCATCCAGGCAGCAGAGCTCCGTGTACAATCTCCTGGGATAGTATCAGGCCAAGGAAGGTGGCCTTGTCCCCAAAGGTCCCAACTTGAATCTGTCCCTGTCACCTGTGTCAAGGCCATGGTTACACTGACATTTTCCTGGGCTGGGATACCAGGAAGGAAGAACCATCCAGGCTCTTCCTTACTAAGAGGCCTCCTCCCCCAGGAAGTTACATGGGGCCCACAGCCAAAGTGACCATGACACAGAGAAGCCTCAGGTGCCCTTTGGACCCAAGTCTAAGGGTGATTTGTATGAAGAAAGTCACCATGGCTTTGGTAAGCCTATGGCCAGAGGCAGGGGCTCCCAATCACTACAGGTTCCTGAGGTAGTTGATGGGGACCATCTGGGGAAAAGCAAGCCAGGGAGGGCTCCCCCTTGAGGCCAGTCTCCTAGAAGCAAATTATACCCCCGCCCTGGGTGAAGAGAGGACATTCTAACCTGCTCCAAAGACTAGATTATATACCGCTGTCCCCTCCTCAAGAGTAGCTCAGGCCTGACGACCTGTCATGGATCCCAGGAATTCATATAAAGGTAAAGGGATCATTTCCAGGGTTGTTCTCTGACCACCACACAAAGAGTTCGTTCACTTGGGCCTGACAGTCACCCAAAGATGTGCTAAGAAAGAGAAAGGAAGAAATAGCCCCTAAATAGGTACTTAAGGCTCTCTGCCCACCCCCACATACAGGACAGTCATAGACCTCAACTGCTAAGTTACCCTGTTTTCCCAGATTCTAACTCAAAAGCATGATTTCCCCCTTTTTATTTCGTGTGTGTGTGTGTGTGTGTGTGTGTGTGTGTGTGTGTGTGAGAGAGAGAGAGAGAGAGAGAGAGAGAGAGAGTTCAGAGACCACATCCTCCATTGCTCTGCAACTTCTTTGATGTAGGGTCTCTCACCAAACCCAGCAAGCCCCAGGGGGTCCTGTTTCTGCCTCCCACTAAGCACGAGGTGCAGCGCCACCCAAACCTAGGCAGCTTTCTACCCACAGGCTTCTGTCCAGCTCCTGTTTAGTCTTTGGGAACTGACCAAAACCCTGAGCATGCTGTGCTTCCGTCTCTCTAGTCCCTTCCCCATTACAGCCACTCAGCTGTTTACACAATTCCACTGCCAACCCTAACTCAACCCTAACCCTCTCTGCAGCTGCCGAGTTACAGCTTGCCTGTCCTGTGTGCTTTTTTCTCCCAAATTCTAATAAAAATGGTCTTTGAAGCATCCTTCTGAGTCCGATTCAAAATTCTTTTATCAAAGAAACTGACCATGAGAAAGGGAGCCAACCAACTTCCTGGTAATGTGTGTCTTGTTCATTTTTTTTTTTTTTTTTTTTTTTTTTTGTTCAAGACCCTGGATAGTACAGGCGACTCCAGAGTCCCCTTCTGTGCCTCAGTGCCATCAGCTGTGATGTGAGGATGGCATCAGTTGAAGGTCCAGCCCAAACATCTCTGGAGAAGTATGGCCTCATCTGCCTCATCCGCCTCGTGTGGGCTCACAGGAAGCCATGGAGAGTCCCACTGGTGTGGACGAGGCTGTGCCTTGAACCTGGAGTCCTGGCTGAACATTCCATGTGCCACCCACAGATCCTGGCCATGCCTCCAACGGCGTCTAGCCAGACAGTCAATCTGAGGGGACTTGGCACTTCTGGCAGTCTTTCATGTCCTCAGAGTAGTTCTCAATTTGGATGGTCATGATGTGGAAATTGAACTTCCCCTGGAGGCGGTCCCTAGCCACCTTCAGCACAGCCTGGGGGTCAGCATTCTGAGCTGGGAAGAGAGAAACATGGGGTATTGACTAGGAGACAAGAAATGCCACCGGCTATCCTGTACCAGGCAAGCCCGAGAGCAAGAAAAACCTTACAGCTAGTGAAAGACCTAAAAAGTAATGTTAATGATGGACTAACCTAGAAACCAATATCTGTTCCTTGGAATGTGCTAGCTTCCTCTCACAAGGCCCTGAGATAAGAAGAATTCACACTGCCCCTCCTTTCCTGTGAGTCAACAGGTGGTAAATAGGGTCAAGAGATAGCTGTAACTCTGGTTTGCCCAGACAAGATTAATTAGCACACCTGAGGCCCTAAGGTCTGCTGACCCTAATAGCAGACCATCCAGCCTCCAAGGGTCACGTACTCAATGGACAGAGGGTCCCACCCCCTCCCTAAGCTTGTGGGTTTGCCTTTAAAAACACCTGGGCCCAGGGGAGGGGGCTTCTCCCTAGCCTGCGTGCTGGAGGAGCAAACGTTTCCTGTTCATTAAAGCGTCTTGCGTTTTACAGCAACTGGACTGGACATTGAGTTCTTGGGGTATCGACCGAACCTGGAAGACTCCTCATTCTGAGGGTCTTACACTAGAATCTGTCTCTCCCATCTACTCACCCCCTTGCCCCTGTACAAGTGATCAGACCACCCCAAGCAAAACCTGTTGTCTTCATCCATAAATGCAGTGGGAAGGATCAGAGGGCATTTCAATGTTCAGCACATGGCCAGAGCTTGGCAAACCCTCAGGAATGGCCTCAGGTCTCTGGCCACTTCTCTTTACCATAACTCACCGATAGCTATGTGGACAGACAGCATCGGCTGGGCCACTGTCAGCGCCCAGATGTGCAGGCTATGCAAGGTTTCCACCCCATCCACAGACAGCAGGAGATTCTTCACAGCTGTGAAGTCCACACCTTTGGGAGTCCCTGGGGGCAGCAAGC